GTAATGGCTCAACCCAAGTGGGAGACCTGGATTGAGTTCTCAGCTCCTGGCTTTGGCCTGGTCCAGTTCTGACTGCTGTAGGCGTTTGGGGAGGAAATTAGTAAATGGAAGCTTGTGTTCTCTTTCCCTGTCTGCCTCTAAAATAAAAAATAAATTAATGAAAATAAGAAAAGGAAAAGGAAAATAGTTAACTCTGAGTGCCTACCATATACCTGGTGCTTTCTTGATAATCCTTACAACCTTGTACCATTCAAAGATAAAATAAGACAGAGTAAGTGACTTCCTCAGTTAAACAGCTTGAAATTAGTGGAACTGCAATTTAAACTCAGACCTGTTCACTCCAAAGCAAAAGCTCTTTCCACCACACTGTACTATCTCCATGCACAGTGGGTGTATGAAATGGCCTGGTGGGCTAACAGAGCCCTGAGTGAGCTGGTCACCCTGAGGCAAAGCCCGGCCTGAATAACAACTTTCCTCCTCAGTCCATCACTGTAACCTGAGTCTTTCCATTGTCTTTCCACACAAACCATACCACCTCAGACACCTTTTTTTTTTTTTTTTTTTTTTTTGACAGGCAGAGTGGATAGTGAGAGAGAGAGAGAGTGGATAGTGAGAGAGAGAGAGAGAGAGAGAAAGGTCTTCCTTTTGCTGTTGGTTCACCCTCCAATGGCCGCCGCGGCCGGCGCGCTGTGGCCGACGCACCGCGCTGATCCTAAGGCAGGAGCCAGGTGCTTATCCTGGTCTCCCATGGGGTGCAGGGCCCAAGTACGTGGGCCATCCTCCACTGCACTCCCTGGCCACAGCAGAGAGCTGGCCTGGAAGAGGGGCAACCGGGACTAGAACCTGGTGTGCCAGAGGCCGCAAGGCGGAGGATTAGCCTAATGAGCCAAGGCGTCGGCTCAGACACCATTCTTATGAAAAACACATCATTAACATTTCCCAGTACCAAGTCTGTCCTAACATTTCCTAACTGAAACCAGAGGATGGCAGTGTGAATCACCGTAGACAGACTGCTAATAATAATAATTATGTTTGTGGAAATACCCTCTTGTGTTACTATTCAGTCAAATTTTACTCATATGAAGGCACAGTGCTCATGTCATCAGGGCTCCCAGCTGTTTGCCTCCCTGGGGGCCGGTACACATTCCCACCCTGAGTGTGGGAGAAAGTGTGGCAGTGCTGAAGCAGCAAGGAAATCTGTCATCAGACAGATGTGGGTTGGAATCTCAGCTCTGCCACCTTGGACAGGTAACTTCACAACAGGCTGAAACTGCACTCACCAGCTTTCCCTCAGGCCTGCTCGTTCTCCTCTGCTCCCTGTGTGACAGCACAGTCAGAAACCAAGTCAGAAACCCAAGTGTCATCCTTGACTTCACATGGCAATCCAATAATGAGTCAGATAATTTTACCTCCCCAAACCTTCATTCTCCCTACTCTCCCCTAGTTCAGGTCATCATCACTTTTGCCTGGATTACTCTAGTATCTCCAAATTTGTGTTCTCTCTACTCAGCAATTGGAATGATTTTCTAAAACAAAATCTGTTAATATCAATGGCCACATTAAAAGTTTGAATGGCTTCCTACCACCCATAAGATAAAATCCAAAGCCCTTGACATAAATCATAAGGCCTTTCCTGATCTGACCTTTGCCTTGGCTATCATTACACCACAAACTTCCCCTCTGTCTCAGCCAAAATTGTTGTCTCACTTCTTCAAATATATCATGTGTCTCTTGCCTCTATGTTATTCACATTCTATTCCCGCTGCCTTATCTATTCTCTTTCCTCTCCTCTACTTAATTCATCTAGCAAAGTCCTAGTCACTCTCCAAGATTCTGTTTTGATGTCACTTCCTCTAAGAAGTCTTGCCTGACCCCCATGTTCAGGTTAGATGCCCCTGATTTGTGTTCCTATAGCACACTGTGCTTATCTCGTAAAATTGTAATTGACTATTTTCTCATCTGCCCCCGGGAACAGAGTCTAAATTCTGTAAGGGCAAGGATCATATTTTGCTTACCCCAAAACACAGTGTTTGGTACCCAGCAGTAGTCAATAAATATTTGACTGACTGATAATTAATGACTGGTGCTTTCACTGCCCAGGTTCTTTAACACCTGGCTCAACATCCTAGCTTTCAGCACCTGCTTTTGACCTCTTTTCTAGTTTAAGGAATATGTTCTCTTTTATTTATTTATTTTTAATTTTTTGCATACCAGGTAACTTCCAAGGGTTTCAACTCTTTATACTTGTTGTCAGCCTTCTGCTATTCCAATTAGGATGGTAATTCTTTAACCCCAAAGAATAAAAGATATCTATACAGGTCAACCCCTGACCATCACTCCTGCTTGCCTGGAGAGATTCAAATAATAAACAATAAGCTCACTTAATAAGCACCTGCTTTGTAACAATTCCTTATGTGCACACACACAGATGAGCATCACTTTATTGGTGAGAAAAAGTTCCTTCTGCTCATATCCAGTAGTTATTCATGATTAGAACCCAAGTCTGTCTTGTCCCAAAGCTTTTTCCACTACATAGTCTTGAAAGTGTTTATGATGCCGGCACTGTGGCATAGCAGGTAAAGCCGCCGCCTGCATGCCAGCATCTCATGTGGGTGCCGGTTTGAGTCCCGGCTGCTCCACTTCCAACCCAGCTCTCTGCTATGGCCTGGGAAAGCAGTAGAGGATGGCCCAAGTACTGGGGCCCCTGCACCAGGTGTAGGAGACCTGGAGGAGGCTCCTGGCTTCGGATCAGTGCAACTCCAGCCACTGTGGCTAGTTGGGGAGTGAACCAGTGATGGAAGACCTTTCTCTCTCTCTCTCTGCCTCTCCTTTCTTAGGTGTAACTCTGACTTTCAAATAAATAAATCTTTTTTAAAAAGTATTTATAACCCTTATAGTTATCAGGTTTCTTAGAAAGTATGGGTAATGGTAGAGTACAGGAATAATGGGAGTGGTGAAGCACAATCCTTTGGAAGGAGAATCTGGTAATATCTAATAAACTCAATATGCATCTTTTGATCCAACAATCCCAATCCTACTTCTAAGATTTTATCATAAAGATACACCTACAGCAATAGAAAATATATAATGCAACATTGTTTGCAATCACAAAATTCTAGAAACAACCTAAATATATTAAGAGAATGGCTGGATAAACTATAACAGTGGTTTCAAATATTTTGGTCTCAGGCCATTTTTATATTCATAAGTCATTTTGCTCATGTGGTATCTCTACTGACAAATTAAAGCACAGAAAAACCACTAATAGTCTATTTAAAATAACAGTGAACACATTATAGGTCAATTTATAACTTATTTAATGAAAAGTAACTATATTTTCCAAAACAAAAAATAGAAAAGTGGTGTTGATTTTGTTTTTGCAAATCTCTTTAAAGTTAGAAAGACTTTGTAGAAGATATTTGGACTCTTATATCTTAATCTTTTGGAATGTGTTTAGTTGAAGTAAATTAAAAAAAAACTCTCCTCAAATAGATATGTAGTTGGAAGTGAGGAATATTTTATAGTCATTTCAGATATGTGTGGATTTTTCTTTGATATTGCAGCAAAATTTGACAGTGGTAATTTCTTAAAAGTTAGTTGCAAATATAGACAGTGAAACCTATCAGTCAGTTTTCTGTATTTTGTTACATTAAAACCCATAGGTCTACATTACGTTTTAAATGGGTATTTTACCCATCCATGCACCCTTTTGTAACATCATGCATTGATAATTTGAAAAAATACTGGCTCACTGAATTATGCAGATCTTCCAAATGTTGACACATTTCATTATACAACATATAAGGAAAAGAACCACTTCACAACATTTGTTAATATCACCACCCATGTCTTCAGAAAATTTTGAGAAGCTGTCAACTTCCTGGCAATGAACACAAATTTTTGAAAATGCTAATGTCATCTGAAAGCTTGATTTTTGCTACTGGCAACAGATGCTATTGTTTTTCCTTGAAGTGACAGGCTCACCTTGTTCATTTTCTAGAAAATGCTGGCTAAAATCCCATGCCTGAATAACCATGTGGGGAGCAACTCGGACTGGACTGAGTTACTGGAATTAAGACTTATTCTATGCATCTGCTCTCCCACAATATGGCGCTGGGAGAGGAGGCAACAGCTTCTACCCAGCTGCCTCTCACCAACTTGACAAGCTGCAGGACCTGCTCCTGATCGGAGGAGAGCAGCGTACTCGGTGTGTGGGTAGCAGAGTTGGGATTGGTGGAAGAGGACTATAAAGGAGGAGAGAGACAACATGCACCAGGAACATCTAAGGGGAACATCTACCTGAAGGAACACCTGTGCAGCCCCTGAGAGAGCTGGCCGGCGGTGTGCCGCTCCCCCGCGGAAGTGGGGAATGTGGCAGGGGGAACCGCCCTTCCATGGAGGTGGAAGGGACGGTAGCCAACCCGGGAAGAACCAGCAGCAAACCCGGGGAGGGCCGAGCAGACAAAAGAACAGCGCAGGGTCCTGTGTCAAAAGAACAGCGCAGGGTCCTGTGTCGTTCCTCCACGAAGAGGGGGAGCGACATAATGGTGCCGTGACTCGGATATGAAGCCTAGGCAGGGCTTAGTGTTGCTCCTCCACGAAGAGGGGGAGCGACAAACCATAGTTTGTCTGTTGTTCTTTAAAGTAAAATGATGCTCAAGTATGTTTTTGTGTGTGTATGTTTTCTAGCTCTGTTTACAGAGGCTAGAAGTAATGCCACCAGAACAGCAATGAATACACCTGGCACTCAGATCTTTAATACCATTCATCACTAAATGCAGCTACAACTTAAACAGGAAATGGGTGACTTCAGGACTAAGGTTGGGCAGGTACAAGGTGAACCTGGAATATGGAGTCAGAAAGTAAGGGGAATGTTTAAAAATGATGAAAAAATGATAAAATAAATAAAAGCCAGTCAAATATGAAATAACTTGTCTGTCAATAAAATGATAGTATTCAGTATGTAATTCATAGAATAAAGTAAAAATAAGTGAGCTCACCATGATATCAATAACTTGATAAATGAATAAACAAAGGAGAATGAAGAAGCTCTCTCATACTGTAGGAAGATAAATAAAAAATATATATAAGGAATGGTAAAGATGGAATTAGAAAACTATCATTTGTCAATGACTACAGTAATAACTGTTTCAAGTAAGAATCATCAATTAATAATTAAACTTGTGCATAGTCTCAAATAACCTCCTTACAAGATATTTATTAATTACAAAGAGAAAAACAGTTACTTTACAGGGGAGAAACTTGGCAGATACCATACCCTGAGTAAATAAAGTTTCTATCACCATTGATGGGACACAGAGGTAACACAAGTCTCCTGATATGGTGCACTGAGAAGAACACAATCAATTCTGTGGTATTCCTGACATAAATGTAAAGTCTGAATCTAACCATGAAGAAACATCAGGCAAACTCAAATTAAGGGATATTTTACAAAATAAATGGCTCTTGCTCTTCAAAAATATTGAGGTTATAAAAGACAAAGACAAAAATTGTCTCAGGTGAAAGAAAACTAAAGAAACTTGCCAATGAATTATAATGTGCAATCCCATACTAGATCCTGAGCTAGAAAACAAATTACTTTTTCCATAGAGAATATCAGAGGAGAGGCCAGCACTGTGGCGCAGTGAGTTAACGCCCTGACCTGAAGCGCTGGCATCCCATATGGGCGCTGGTTTGAGACCTAGCTGCTCCACTTCTGATTCAGCTCTCTGCTATGGCCTGGGAGAGCAGAAGATGGCCCAAGTCCTTGAGCCCCTGCACCTGCGTGGGAGATCCAGAAGAAACTCCTGGCTCCAGGCTTTGGATTAGCACAGCTCCGGCCACTGTGGCAAATCGGGGAGTAAACCATCAGATGGGAGACCTCCCTCCCTCTCTCTCTCTCTGCCTCTCCTCTCTTTGTGTAACTCTTAAATAAATAAATAAATATTTTAAAAAAAGAATGTCAGAGGAACAAAAACATGAAAGCCAGCCAAAACTTGAATAAAATCATACATTATAGCATAGTATTAATTGTAAGTTTCTAATTTTGATAAATACACTGTGATATTTGTACTCTTTCTTTAAGGAAACAGACCTGCAATGTGGCATATCAGGTTGAGCCACTGCCTTTAGTGCTGGCATATGGGTGCCCCTTGGAGTCCCCGCTGCTCCACTTCTGATCCAGTTTTCTGCTAATGCTCCTGGGAAAGCAGCAGAAGATGGTCCAAGTGCTTGGACTCCTGCATCCATGTGGGAAACCTGGAAGAAGTTCCTGGCTCCTGGCTTTGGCCTGGTTCACTCCTGGCCATTGCAGCCATCTGGGGAGTCAATCAGTGGATGGAAGATCTCTCTCTCGCTCTCCCTCTCCCTCTCCCTCTTGTGTCCCCCACCCCATAACTATACCTTTTTTTTCTTTTATTTTTTAAAGATTTATTTTATTTATTTGAAAGAGAGAGTTACAGAGAGAGGTAGAGACAGAGAGAGAGGTCTTCCATCTGCTGGTTCACTCTCCAGATGGCCACAACAGCCAGAGCTGTGCTGATCCGGAGCCAGGAGCTTCTTCCGGGTCTCCCATGTGGGTGCAGGGGCCCAAGGACTTGGGACATCTTCTGCTGCTATCTCAGGCCCTAAAAGAGAGCTGGATCAGAAATGGAGCAGCCAGGACTAGAACCGGCGCCCGTATGGGATGCTGGCACTTCAGGCCAGGGTGTTAACCCGCTGCACCACAGCACTGGTCCCAACTCTACCTTTCAAATAAATAAAATGAATCTTTAAAAAAGGCACAAAAAGGACAGAAAAAAAAAAGGAACAGACCAAAAATATTTAGGAATAAATGGAACAGAAAATAATTCAATTGTCTATGTATCCTTATCTATTTCTTTATGGAGATTGAAGAAAAATACAGCAAGAGCAACAGAATGATGAAATGTTGGGCAGGTATTTGGCCTGGTGGTAAGAGGTCATTTAGACACCTGCATCCCACATCAGAGTGCCTGGGTTTGCTTCTGACTTTGGCTGTCAATTCTAGCTTCCTGCCAATGCAGATCCTAGGTGGCAGCAGGTGCTGGTTCAAATGATTGGATCCCTGCCATTTATGTGTGAGACCTGGATTGAGTTCCCAGTTCCTGTCTCAGACTCAACCTGGCCTCATCCATTCCAGGCATTTAGGAAAGTGAACCAGTGGATCGGAACTCTGTCTCAATCTCTCTGCCTCTCAAACAAAAGGAAAACAAAAAGAAAATGTGGTTAGGTATGGGTAAAATGTATATGAGAATTTTTTGGATACTTTTTTTGCAACTTTTAAAAATGAAGATTTATTTATTTGAAAGGCAGAGTTATAGAGAGGAAGAAATAGAAGCTGGGGGAAAAGGGAAGGAGGGAGGAAGGGAGGGAGAGGGAGAGGCAGACGGAGAGAGAGGGGGAGATAGAAAGGGGGAGAGAGAAACAGAGAGAGAGACAGATTTTCCATACACTGGTTCACTTCCCAGAAGGCCACAATGGCTGGGGCTGGGCCAGGAGCTAGGAGCTTCATCTAGGTCTTAAATCCTAAGCACTTTTCAATGTTATTTAAAATTATTTGAAAGCAATTGTTAATGGATGCTAATTGTTAATATTTCCTTGTGTGGAGGTATTATGATTTACCTAACTTATTTAGGGTTTTCTTCATTTTTTATGTTATAAACATATAGTAAAACATACAATGAACATTTTTGCATGCATCTTTGTCCACATATTTGTTTACTTCCTTATGCATGATTCCTAGAATGACAATTTCTTTGTTTGCTCCCAAACTTCCTCTTCAAAGTTTGTTCTGTTTTACTGATTTCTGTCCTGCTTTAGGCCTCATCTGTTTACTAAAAGACTGAATCTTGGATTTCAATCTGAGCAGTGACTTGTGATTGCCAAAGGCTGTGAGTAATCATAGCTTACAGCAGCAGGCTGGGTTCAGTTCTGGGCTGCACCTGCTTAAAGGGAGTTAATTTTTTGTAGGTCCTAAAAGCTAACGAAAAAAATCATTGAGCATGTGGGAAGTAGGCTTGCAGCAAGCCTGATGAGGTTCAGTTCAGCTTAATGGCCCTGCGGTGTACCTTAGGTGAGACTGGTTCTAGGGATATAGAGAATCAGTGAGCCTGGCCCACAGAGTTCACAGTCTGGGAGAGAAGACATACAAGTAAACCGATACTGACACTGCAGTGGTGAGCAGTTATGAACTGGGGAGCACACAGAAAGGAGCATGCCTCTGTAAAAGAAAAAAAAACCTTTTATATGGTGTATGCTCATATTCTTTCAATCCACCTCCCTTTCCTTCCTTCCTGTTTCCTCAGTTCACATATAATTTATTGAGCACATACCCTAAGACCAAAGGGTGCGGCAGTGGAGCTGGGAGAGGAGGAGGGAAATTTAAACAGTAAGACAGTAGAAAAAAAAAAAAAGACAGTAGAAGTTATCAGGCTTCATGACTAATTGTCCACCTTGGAGGGATGATGGCATCATTCACCAAGCCTGGGAAACAGTTATCTTTTGGGGTGGAAATTTAAAGAACAAATTTTAAAGAGCAAAGAAAAATTTGCTAGGGGTGCTAGACCTTGACTTCATTTGAAGAAATCGTTCTTAGAATATTGGATTTCCACAGGATGTATCTGTTATAAAAATGAAAGTGAGGAGGTCTAACAGGTTGGGAATAATGAGATACTTGGGAGTCACTGGTTAGCGGTAAAAGTCAATGCAAAATTGAAAATGGGGTAATCACATCAGCTGACAGTAGGCTAAGATAGATTAAGGTGAAAAAGATTTACAGAAGAGAGGAAAATAGATGAGAGGCATTTCAGGAGCAGAGAGTAAACTGGGTAGGAAAAACCAAAAAGATGGAATGAAACTGCAGAAGATGAAAGGATTTAAGGTGGACTACTTACAGCAGGGAGGTGGTGCTGATGATAAAGGCAGCCTCTTTCAGCAACAGAATTTGCATAGAAGGGAAGAAAGTGTGAAGCAAGAGGAAATTGGTCCCGGGAACAAATGAATCATCTTCATGTAGTAGCTACACCCTGGGTAGCATGATTATTCATAAACAAATGCAGATTTCCTGCGGTGGTAGTGATCTAGGCTTGGAAAGCACAGTCCTAATGTTAGGTTGCCAAACTGATCTAAATTAAAGGGCCTGTTTCTCTAGATTGAAAATTTTTAGTAACACTAACTTACCTTTACAGCATTTTCTTAATATAGCTGAAAGGACTGTTAGGGTATCAGGTGGCAGAAGGAATTTACTTCCAGCTTTTCCTTAGGTTGGGTGGACTTCACATGTAAAATGGTGGTAGCATAGTACCTAATTCACAGAGTTGTTGTGAGGATGAATCATAGTTTCCCGCTGAGCCCCAGTTTCTCTTGTTATAAAAAGGGGATAGTGATTTTTTTTTTGTACTGTGACTCAGAAGTATGTGGCAAAGGCACACTTAGGAATGTACAGGAACAGCTTTCATTGATGAGAAGAAAGCTGCTAGGTTATATTTTCTCCAAAGTGGCTGCTCAATTATTATTTGAATGTCTCCTAAAGACTTTAGTAATTTTCTCATTATGATTTATTATTATTAGGGCACAATCTAAGATAAGGTGAAATCATCCTATGATGTTTTTGTACAGAAAAATAGACTGGATCTATGCTGACACTGCCGTTTAACCAAAAGTCATAGAACCCAGTATAACAGGCAGTATTATTCAGTGGAGGGATGTTACATAAATCCTTCAGTGAAATTTAGGGCAATTTCACCCACCAGGGATGATGAAGACTGTTGCACCCATCTTTTGATAGAAATACACATATATGCAAAAAACACATGGATATGAACCTAAAAAATATTGAGAATTAGGGCATTCTGGAACCAACAAAAATTTGCACTAATATTTATTGAGTATTTTCTACAGGTCAGTTCCTTTATCTCTAACCTTCCCAACAACACCAAGGCAGACAACAGAAAACTGACATTCAAAAATGTTACATAACTTGCTCAGGTCATAAAGCCATAGATGACAGAACTGGAATGGCTAGTATCAGGATCTGACAACAAGGTTTCTGCTCATTCTAGAATAGTACTCTGAAAAAAATTCTGTATTTGGAAACTTTGGGGACCAGAGAATTTGGAGAATTTCTCTTTGTTTTTCGTTCTGACGCTGGCACCCTAGAGGTTGCGTGAGACATGGGCTATCTGCAGACTCCACTACACAGAAAACAATTTCCTTCCTTCAGAGCCTTACCCAGGATTTGGCTGGGGGTGGGGCTGGGGTGGGGTGGGGTTAACGGAGGGTGGTTAGTGAAAGATGGATGGGTCTTTTCTTACCTTTAAGTTGTTTATGAATTTCAGGACAACCCGATGGCTATTTTCTTCTCTTGCTCAGCATTTTTTTTCCCTACTTTATAGAAGGGGGGGTGGAGGGGATGGAGGGGTTGAGGTTTTGGTATCTGTAGGAAATTTCTGTAACGCACTGCACGGTAGATCCAAAAAAGTTAAGGTCAAAGACAATTGCCTCATCTGTTCTGTGAGAGGATTTGTGTGTGTGTTCGGGGGAAAAAAAAAAAAAAAAAAGGTCTGTTCTGGGTCACTCGTCTTTCACGCAGACACACTGAAGGGACCAGAAGAGATTCCGTGCCCCCCTCCCCCCCAGGAGAGATGAGACGAGGAGACTTCCTCACGCTCCCGCTCTCAGGTGCCAGTCCGAGTGACAAGAACGTGCACGTACCTTCCGCAGAGAAGGAAAGGGTGCTCGGGGTCTGACGGGGGGTGGGACCGCCAGGGGTTTGTGGGAACCGAGGGGCTTCCGGCTCCCAGGAAGCGTCGTCAGGGGTGAGAGGCGGGCCGCGAGCCGCAGGCGGCGCAGGGAGCGCGGGGCCCCCGCCACCCCCAGGCCGCGCTCCCTCGCGTTCCCTGCCGCTCGTGCCCGGCGTGGCCGCCGCAGTCCCGGCGCCGTAGCCAGACGTGGGGTCCAGGGGGCGCTGTGGCCCAGCGGCGCGGAAGGCTGGAGCGTCCACCGCGACGCCGGAGGCTTCGCCGAGGATCCCCGCCTGCAGCACCTCGGTCGTCCCGCCGCAGCCTTGCGCCCCTGGCCTGGCCCTGCGGCGCTCCGCCGGGGTCTGCGTGGGTGCGGCGGCCCGGGAGCCGATGCGCCTGGGCGGGCACTGGGCCTCAGCAGCAGCAGCAGCAACTGCGGCGACCACAGCCCCGTCAGGAGTGGGAGGCTTCGCGGTGGCTCCTGGGGCCGCGCCGGTGCCCTCCGGAGGAGGCTTTCGGCTCCGGGACGACCCTCCTGGCCATGCTGAAGCGGTGGTGGCCGCTGTTCGAGGTGAGTGTGGTGCGGCGCGGTCCCGGCTCGCCTGCTTGCCGCCGCCTGTGGGGGCCCTGGCGGCAGCCCTGGGGCCGGGCGGACGGGGCGTCCTGTCGCTGCGGCCGCCTCCCCCACCCCGCAACTCTGGGGCCTCAGCCCTTATTTCTCGCGTCTCCCGGGAGGATGGAGGCCCGTGGGGTGCGACTAGGCCCCGCGCTGCCGAGAAGCCGTCGCCCCGGCCTCGGTTTCGGTGCGGCCCGGTGTGTGGAGAGGCTTGCGGTGAGGGGGGGGGGGGGGCACGGGCGTCCTTGGGCTTGGCCCGGGCCGGGCGGAGCGCAGCCTCTTAGACCTGGCCCTGCTTGTACATCCCGGAGGGAGGCGGAGGACGCCTGTTTGCAAACAGCCTCGGCTTCCCCGCGCCCTGCACTCTGTTCTGCAGAGTCCCGGGGGGGAAGGGAGGGAGGGCAGGGTGAGAACCCCGGTGCAGAAAGTGCGGGGTCCTGAGAGCCCCTGGTGTACCTGGAGTGTCATTCACGGACATGACTTGCTTGAGAATAACCTTTTGCGTCTTATTTGAGGTGAAATTTCATCACCTGCTGGTAGCTCATCCCTGCTTTCTTATATTACATCTTGTCTCTAAGGGTAGTCTTCCTTGGAGAAAGCCCTGTCCCAGCTCTACAATGCTAAGTTTCCTAGATAAACACTCACAGTTAGAAAAATATCTTTCACAAAAGGTATCCTCCTGCCAAGAGAGAAATATTTTAGCGCTTCTGTCCACGGTACAAAAGTGTCCCACCTAAATAGATCCAGAGAATGAGTGGCAAGAGGATTTTAAGTCGTAGTAATTACTCTAATAACAAGTTCCTGACGGAATTGGTATCTATTCTACATTTTAGAACGAAAATGATTTGTATTGGTATTAATGTAAAAATATGTGATTAAAGTTTGATACCATAAGTTAGATATTTGGGTGTTTTAGATTTATGATAGATGTAATTACTAGTTATTTTTGTTTTCCTGCTAAGTGTATTAAGATTGTGAGATTTAAAGGTACTTGTAGAACTTTTATAATGATGGAAAACATAAATATGCTTATTGTACAGAATTCAGAAAGTTTAGAAAGATGCTGTGTTGGGCTGTCAATGAATGTTTAATAACTGAGGAGAAATCACCCTTAATCCGTAATCTTACAGATAATACTTTTTGATGGTCAGATTTTAAAATGGGGTTATACTGATGATAATTTATTTGAGAGGCAGACACACAGGCAGAGCGCAAGAGCCAGAGAGAGAGCGCGAGTGCCTGCATGAGAGAGATACCCTCCATTAATTTACTCTCCAAATGCCACCATTGTCTGGGGCTGGGACTGGGGCTTGGTGAAACTCAATCTAGGTCTCCCACATGGGTGGCAGGAACCCAATTCTTTGAGCCTTCGCTGTTGGGGCTTCATTAATAGGAAACTGGAATCAGGAACCCAATCTGGGAACTGAAAACAGGTACTGCTGTGTGGGCTGCAAGTATCTTAATGGGTGTCCTAAATCAATCACTGATCAGGCTAACTGCTTGCTCCTGATGGTGAGTTTTTCATTTATTATTTCAGTATATTGGGTTCAGAATTGCCAACTGTTGCCATTGCCATTGGTATACCTATGAAAATGTTTCACTAAATTACATGTGAACCATAGATAAATTTGTTCATTAAAATGGGATAGTATTTGTAATTACCTAAAAGATCCCTGACTTCACCTTCTATGCAGCATGAGGAGTCCATTAGGTCTAGGGAGGTTTTTGAGGACCTACTGTGTTAGATGCTGTAGCCTTGTGTAGTTTCTGTCAGATTTTGCTTACATGTTTCTAACTGTAGAAAATTGGCTTTATTACTTTTTTTTGTTAGATTTATGAAGTTCTTTAAAATTCTCATTCAGTTTTCACATATACCTGAACAGACCAACATTTGAATCAGTTGGGAGTGCTTAAAATATGCAGATCCCAAGGTAGGCATTGGCCTCAAGGTTAAGCTTTCAGTTGAGACGCTCACATCCCATATCAGAGTGCCTGGACTTGAGTTCTGGGTTTGCTTCTGATGTCAGCTTCTTGCACATGTGCACCCTGAGAAGCAGTCTGTGCTAGCTCATGTACTTGAGCCCATGCCACCTACGTGGGAGAACTGGATTGAGTTCTGGTTCCTGGCTTTGGCCTGGCCCAGCCCAGCTGATGCGGGCTTTTGAGGAGCTGATGGGAGCTCTCTCTCTCAAAATTTAAAAAATACATATATTAAAAAACACATGCAGATTCCTGGCCTTTTGAATCAAAATTCTAGGGATGATGATGGCCCAAAGATGTTCATTTTTTATCATATTCCCAATTCTTAGTTCTAGTAGTTTGAGAACCACTGATATAATAACTTGAAAGTTAACTAACTTTGCAGAGCTGAATGTGTCTGTTTTCTAGAAAAGCTATAGCCATTTCTCATAGCAACAGTTAATGATGTTATACTGTTAGAAAAATATTTTGAGGGACAGCTGTCAACATTTGTTGGGAGCCTTCTGTGATATTCTGTGGTGTTAAAGGATACCTGGCCAGTTTTTTTTTTTTTTTTTTTTTTTTTTTTAGAGATTTATTTATTTGAAAGGCAGAGAGAGAGAGAATGAGAATCTTCCGTCCACTGGTTCACTCCCCAAGTGGCCACAATGCTGGAGCTGGGCCAATCTGAAGCCAGGAGCTTCTTCTGGGTCTCCCACGTGGGTGCAGGGGCCCAAGTACTTGGACTGCCTTCCACTGCTTTCCCAGGTGCACTGTCAAGGAGCTGGATTAGAAGTGGAGCAGCCGGGCCATATGGGATGGCAGCACCACAAGTGGCAGCTTTACTTGCTATACCATAGTGCTGACCCTGCCAGTTGGTTTTTAATGGACCCAATGTCAATGTCTGCAAAATGTAGAAAGTTATTTAACTTACCTTGCAAGATCTTTAGGTTCTAAAAATGTATTGTGATCTGTAAAAGATTTTTGTAAAATTTCAGCTATGCAGTGCCTGTCTTAGGTGTACTGGGAAACAAAAATGACGAAGGATTCTGCTAGCAATTAGCTAATTGTGGAAGCAGGACAAGTATAATTAACTGTTACAGGGCAGGGTCAGACAAATGTTGTAATTTAGTGGAACACGCTAGATCTCTGTTTAAGGCTTCTATGTCTCATCCAGGATCTTGCTCTTTAAGAACATTGATGTTAATTTTTTTCTTAAAGATTCTTTTTATTTGTTTGAAAGGCAGAGTTACAGAGAGGCAGAGGCAGAGAGAGAGAGGTGTCTTCCATCCGCTGGGTCACTCCTTAGGTGGCTGCAATGGCTGGAGCTGTCCCTCTCCGAAACTGGGAGCCAGGAGCTTCTTCGGAGTTTCCCATGTGGGTGCAGGGGCCGAGGACTTGAGCCATCTTCTGCTTTCCCAGGTCATTGCAGAGAGCTGGATTGGAAGTGGAGCAGCTGGGAATCGAACTACACCATATGGGATGCCAGCATTCAGGCGGCAGCTTTACCTGCTATGCCACAGCGCTGGTCCCTTTTTTTCTTTTTTTAAGATAATTTTTCTATGTGGGTATTTCTTTATCTTTTAATTCCTGATCCAGTGTCTTCTTTGAGGAAATAATCGTGTATGTTGCCTGGTAAGAGTTTTATATTAACTTCTTTAGAAAGGCAGAGTGAGCAGGGATGATCCCATTCCTTCCTCTGTTGCTAAGATACCACTGTTCATTCCATTCAGTAAACTTTTATTTGGCACTTGTTATGTACTGGCTGTAGAATGACTGCAAGACACAAAGCTTGTTTAAAACATAATTGCCCAAATTTTAGTTTAAGTTCTTATGTCCCTAAAGGGGTGGGGATTGTGTATGTGTGTATGTTATGGTTGTTAGTTGCATGATACGGTACAGAGTATGGGCCAAGATGTGGGCAGGAATTCTAGTACACCTCATAGAGCAATGTGGCATTTAGATTCTGAGTTTCTTTTTATGTACTGTTGGAGCAACAGTTCTCCTCCCAGGGAGGTAGAACAGGTTACTGAGATAAAAGTAATGAAAAACAATTGGCTCAATGTTTGCAATATAGATGCTAAGTAAATGCTCAATTCCATTCTTCCTTTTGGGGAAAGCAAAAATAAAGATCAGGAATTGAAATTTCTGTGTGAATTAAAACTTGATAGTTTTCCTTTTTTTTTTTTTAAAGCAAATACATCTACTTTTAGAATTCTTGACTTTTATTTTTTTAAACTTTTATTTAGTAAATATAAATTTCCAAAGTACAGTTTATGGATTACAATGGCTTCCCCCCCATAACTTCCCTCCCACCCACAACCCTCCCATCTCCCGCTCCCTCTCCCATTCCATTCACATCAAGATTCATTTTCAATCATCTTTATATACAGAAGATCAATTTAGTATATATTAAGTAAAGATTTCATCAGTTTGCACCCACACAGAACATAAAGTATAAAGTACTGTTTCAGTACTAGTTGTAGCATTAATTCACATTGAACTACACATTAAGGACAGAGATCCTACATGAGGAGTAAGTACACAGTGACTCCTGTTGTTGAATTTACAATTTGACACTCTTGTTTATGGCGTCAGTAATCTCCCTAGGCTCTAATCATGAGTTGCCAAGGCTATGGAAGCCTTTTGAGTTTGCCGACTTCGATCTTGTTTAGACAAGGTCATAGTCAAAGTGGAAGTTCTCTCCTCCCTTCAGAGAAAGGTAACTCCTTCTTTGATGGCCCGTTCTTTCTACTGGGGTCTCACTCACAGATATCTTTCATTTAGGTCCTTTTTTGAATTCTTGACTTTATTTATTTATTTTTTTTTTTTGACAGGCAGAGTGGACAGTGAGAGAGAGAGAGAGACAGAGAGAAAGGTCTTCCTTTGCCGTTGGTTCACCCTCCAATGGCCGCCGCGGCCAGCGCGCTGCGGCCGGCGCACCGCGCTGATCCAATGGCAGGAGCCAGGAGCCAGGTGCTTTTCCTGGTCTCCCATGGGGTGCAGGGCCCAAGCACCTGGGCCATCCTCCACTGCACTCCCTGGCCACAGCAGAGGGCTGGCCTGGAAGAGGGGCAACCGGGACAGAATCCGGCGCCCCGACCGGGACTAGAACCCGGTGTGCCGGCGCCGCTAGGCGGAGGATTAGCCTAGTGAGCCGCGGCGCCGGCCTCTTGACTTTATTTTTTAGAGATTTATTTTATTTATTTGAAAGGTAGACAGGCTGGCCCCGCGGCTCACTAGGCTAATCCTCCGCCTTGCAGCGCCGGCACACCGGGTTCGGCACACCGGGTTCTAGTCCCGGTCGGGGCGCCGGATTCT